TATAAAAACAGAAAAGATATTGAAATGAATATTTTTCTTACTAGCTGACAAGTTCTAACCTGAGAAATTACATGTTGTTCCCATCATAAGAATGTCCTGTATCAATACTGACTTACAACTAGTAATTGATACCTAAAGAGTGTTATATTTAATCATTCAGGAATGATTCCAACAATGCATGTGAATATATGCATAGGATATTCAGTGTTTGAAATCATCAAAACAAGCTACACGGCAAAGAGTATCCTCATCTCTCAACTATGTGAACTTTAACTTGTAGAGACTGATTAGTGTTCCAGCAGAAAGAATGGGATTAGATAGAAGCCAGGAAATCTAGTGTCAGGATACATGTTCTTCATAAGCACAATGCTTCACAAAAGGCAATGTGATAGACATAATTACATCCACAGATACCGAAATAAACTGTAGTGGAATGTAACCAGAAAAGGAACTTTTACAACATAGATGACAGACAAAGGGACCAGAAAATTCCCAAAGGAGCCTGAGCAAATAAATCTTTCTCTGCCAACACTGAATAAATCCAACACATGGAGTCACATATTTCATGGATATTCATTTTTAGCCTGAAAAACTTTTAGTCATTTGCAAATCTTCAGACCATGTATATTGTGGATAGCTGCAGAGAGTCTCAAAATGAAATAAACTCAAATGTAATACCACTAATCCAACATTAGAATAATAAATATTAATCTGAAGAAGTTCATTAAAATTTCCTACTTAACACATTTCCTGAATACGAAAAAACAGAAACTTCAATATGTCACTAATAACTTGACTTTAAAGGTAACAAAACGGTTATTGAGTGTAACTTGATCTTTATTTTCTAGAAGGTGATGAAAAAGAAAATCCTACTGGGCACACAAAGATGGACCTGCAGGTCTCAGGGGACTTTACTAGACACATTCTCTGTCTGCCTTCAGAATATCTCCCTAAAGAATGCTAGATTTGGGCAGAATCTGTCTAGACAACTTCCAAAGAGAAAGGCAGAGACAAAGTAAGACAGAGCAAGCAGCTGGGAGAGCCTTGTACTGTTAACTACTGACCACCTAGTTGCAGACTTTGGCACTCAGAAACATTTTTAAATGGCCAGCACATGTGGAGTGTCTCATTCAGCCTATAATCCCACAGCAGACACACACATTTATGAATTAGTCATAGCAACCTTGCTGCAGATGAGCCATTAGCTGCTCTGACCCAGACTTATGGAATGCTGTAGGTAGAGGTTAGATGTAGACATATTTTTAAGAGCAAACGAAATAATCCATCTTGAACATTTAAGCAATAGGAATCAAGAAATAAGCAATGAAACATCACAACATGCAGAACTTTTTAAAAATAGAAGTACTTTTATCTCTTAAAACATCTCATAATCAATTACTGGCACATTGAAATGCAGTACATAGCTATCCAAATCAAACTTTCGCATTTTGGATACATCAGACTAACCTGAAAACACTGATTGGGAAAACAACCAGTTACATAAACAAAATACATGAAAATTTAAGAAATGGCTACACTCACAATGCATACCAATTTTGATAACTCTTCTGTATGGCATATAGAATCTTATTTCTTTGATTTAAGGAAGTCAAATTTTGCTTCATCAAGATTATTTTTCCGCCAAACCATAATCATCCTCTTCCACTTTGCCCTATGCATGATTCAGTTTTACGTGGTTTTACCATCAAGCTACCTTTAAATATTTTCACTCTTAACAAACACTTATTATTCTTAAAAAAATCAATCTAAGGATATGCATAGGCATGACATTCTATAAAAATCGACATTATTGGCATCACAAACTAAAATGTATTTCAAATTTCATAACAAAATAATGTGTATGCATCAAAGGTAAGCCTCAGAATCGTGAAAATATCTAGTTCCCTGTAATGACATTAAAAATAAAATGATTTTAAGAGTGTAGGAATTAATCAAATCACAACTTCTTGTTAATAATTTACCCCAGTTTTAGACTGTTATCCAATGACAGCAGTTTTTGTCTTTCAATTAATATTACTCATGCTACTCCTTTGTAATGTGGTGACTTTCACCTCAGTGAATGAATATTCACTTACAACATAAGGAGTGGTATAGAAATGCAGGGAAATCTAATCATAGTATTACATTTGATAGTATCTATTTCTTGACTTAATAGATACTTTATTTGCTTTTTTAAAACTAAAAAATATCCGTTTACCATTGGCTTTCATAAGAATATCAAACATTTTCTAGCATCCATTCTGAAAGTGGAACACTAAATGTTTATTTTCTTAAGAACATCAAACAGGAAAGAGTTAACATGAATACCTCCACCCAGCACCTCCTACAGTTAAAATAATTCAGGCTTTTCAACCTTAAATAATACAGACGAAAACTATGGGAGAATCGCAAATTAAGCTCTGCAATTTAAAAAATGTAATCTTAGTTGTCAGCATAAAAGGCATCTCTCTAAAGTTCTGTTCCAAATTAATAACTAAGTGTGTTGGCTAAAAAAAATCAGAATCCTATGAGTCTCAAGCATGATTTATGCTATTACTGCACTTTTTAAAAATATTGCTTTGGGAATCAATGGAATAAAACAATCTCAGTGTATATGCTTTGCAACCAAGACTGTAAGAGCACAATTTCTTTTCGCCTGGAAAAGAAATAATGGAGTATTATTCCTTTAGCATTTCCTATTAGAAAAAATATCTAGTAAACTTTCATTAGGCATAGACACAAGTCAGAAAACTCCTATTACCTTATGTTATATATAATATTTTAATTTTACTAACAGCATTGTATTATACTTTTACTAACTTGTAATATATACATATATACATGCAAACACATATATAATATACATATAGGCTTAGAAAGTCATCCAATCAAAGAAGTACTAAAGAACTTACAAAGCTCTTGGAAATAATACAAGCTGTGAAACACAATCGCCTATAAATCATTAGAAAATTCCCTTTGTGTTAACTAAGCTTACTAAAGTCTCAGAGGGCACATAACTCTTTCATCTGTCAGCTAAATCTTTGCATTGTACAATAAACATGGCTGGAGTAATTTAACTAACCCCCCAAAATGGGAAAGTGTCTCTGTGGACTACCCTTCACATGAGTCTTGAGAGACAGATATTTGAAATTCAAAATGAAATCATTTTCATAAAAGTATTTCAACCTCTTTCAGGTAACAACATCTGTTTGAACTGAGATCTTCCCATATAAAGAAACATAATCTCATATGTATTTCATGAAGCTAACTTCATGAAAACAAACCTAATCATCATCAAAACACTGATGTCATTCAATCTGGTAAATGTAAGTTAGAGTTTCCCAAAGCAGGCAGCTATTCACCCAGGCTCAGATTCCCATAGGAAGCTAGATGCTAGCCAACACTTACTCTAACTGCCTCCCCCTCACCCCCTCACCACAGTCTCCTTTACCACCAAGCAACAGCCCCTTCTGTATATAGCATTATAAACAACAGCTTGCCATTTTCATTCCTTCAGCCTATGACTCAAATACTCTTTTATTTCAACTAAATTATCTCTTGATTTAAATGTTAGTACAGAACTCATATTGGCATGTAGTTTCTAAAGTTTAAATATACCACCAAGAAAATTCTGGACCTTTCTTAATATTGCTGTTTTTATGTAGAAAAAAAATCAAGCTGGGTGCTTCAAAGGGTTAAACTATTTTTGGTTTTCAAACAGTTGTTTCTTTGAAACATATTCCTACTTAATATCTGCAAACTTCCTTACTTCCTGTGAGGATGGCAATTACTTTTTCAAATACATCGCTTCTGCCCCATTATATGGAGTCCAAATACAGTCAGTCCATAGATGACTCTGCCTGCACACATGGCACTTATTATGGACATGTTCCTTATAAATTCGTTGGATGAAACATGTACAAACCCTGTGCAACAGGTCCTGCTATTGTGTTAACACAGCTCCTAACACCACAACAGGAAGATCCAAGACAACAACATAACTATCAAACCAATCCATGCAGTTTCTCTCATAATTCTTTTAAGATATATAGTCCTAGTAGCTAATCAGGAGAAGTTTGTTTTACCCAGACCCTCCCACAGTCTCAACCTTAAGTGCAATGTTAATGTAAGGAACTGTGTCACAGCCCAGGTGTGCACGCCTTTCATTGATTTACCGCACATGACTGGCTTTAGTTCTCCATTGATGACAGGAAGAGTACTTTGGCAAAGGTCTGACAAGTCCTTATCCTTAAGTTCCCTATTGCTTCTGTGAGCTGTTCCCAAAACTGTCACAGTAAACCAAATGGCAATCTAAGAAATTTAGGCTTTGTCATGTCAGTGTGAAATCAAATTAAAAATACACCTCCGAACTATTAGACTGGGCCACGTTTATTTCCAGTCCCCTGGGAAGGGAGAGAGTAGGCACTTAAAGGCGATGGATTTCATGTGCTCTGTACAGTTAGATCTAGTTACAAGTGTATTAAGTTATGTCTAATAGAAAGACACTGTCTGCTGGAGTGTTTTATCACAAAGTGATGTTATTAAGCATATCGAGTATTCCCATACTCTCCTTGGATTCTTTGATTTTATCCTCCCTTTGTTAGGCACAGACCACAAGCAGAAATATTGCAGGAACAATACCCAGGCGGCACATGATGCCAGCCATCAACGCTGTTTCCCTAGCAGTGTATCCAGCATAAACTCAAGCTTTCTTATAAAGCTACACGTCTGCACTCGATAGAGCTTTGCCTCTTCCCTGGCTAAAAAGCTCCAGCATGCTACAATGACTCTCTGGGCAGCATGCAGCATCGTGCTTTGTGCAGCTGGGGATAACGGATTGTTGGTCTCCAGGCATCCATCCCCTACAACATGGGCAAACTCTACAAGGGTTTCGGTGGCTGGTTGCAAAGGAAACAATATGCTCCTGGATCCGAGGAGTGAAGGAAATGTTTCAGGGAGCAGCCAGGCGATGGGAGAGGAAGAAAGCGCTCTACTCTTACCTCCACATTGAAATACTGCTCCGTTCCGCAGACCGTAGCACATAAAATCCAAAGCAAGGTTTGCAAGAAAAACACCCCTGAACGATGCACGAAATCCAACCTTCTTCCAGTGCTGAATGCGAGTAAGATCATAGTGAACTGTGCCTCAAAGGATGGAAGAGCTCCCCTGTGTTTTCTCCCTCTTTCCCAAAGCACACTCCCTCGTTTCCTTTCAAAAAAAGTCCTCGGGTGGGCTGTAAGCTCGCAGGTTCACCCACCCCTCCAGTGGAGGAGATCAGCGACTGGCTGAGCAAGCCAGGAGGAGCGGATGAAAGGCAGGGTCAGCGGCGGCGAGTGTTCACCATCCTCACCCTGCCGTCGCCCCAGAACGTGGCGCCCAAGTTCACCCGCGGTTCTGACTCCCAGAGCCGCCGAGTCGCAGCCGCCGCCTCCAGCCCGTGCGTCCTCCGCCTCCTCCACCTCCTACGCCGCGGGTGCCCCCAGTTTCTGCAGGAAGGGCCCCTGCCGCTCCCAGCTCACTGCCTCAGCTGCTCCTTCCCTCCTCTCCGCTCCCCTCCAGAATGTTCACCCGTAATCTACATAACTCCTCCTTCTCGAGGTCTGCGGTGATCTCCGGGGCCCCGCGCGTGCACAACCACACGCGTGCGCGCCCAGTCTTAGACACACACAGACACACACAGACACACACAGACACACATAGACACACGCACGCGCGCGCGCTCGAGCATGCACAGACACACACACACACACACACACACACACACACACACACAAGCCCCACATGGGTATACAAGGCCTGAAACACACGCAGGCGCGCTTCTTAAAGGAAAAGGCTCCTAAAGACTGCCTCTTGGCTACCTCAGGGCACACTGAATTAGGCACCCTGCCTTTGAGCAGGGCCCTAGTTGGTGATGAATTCTTTTTCCTTATTTTCTGCCTTCATACATGATACCTGGGACCCCCGGGAGACTCCATTCCCACATCTCTCCTTGTCCCCTGCATTAATGTCTGAAAGCAAGTGCTCCCCTCCCCAACCAGTTCTTGGGTGGGGCTTGGGCTGTGGACCCTGCTAGAAGCTAAGGAGCAGCCCTGACCTCATCTTGAAGAGTATTTGGCATATAGTTAGAGAGGTTCAAAAAGCACTGGAAATCAGAACAACATGCAGGTTCCTGTGAGTTGCTTGACTGTGTGGGTCAATAACCAGGTCCGACCAAGTTCAAATGATAAGGATTGCAAATCTGCCATGAAGAACTTTTGTTAGAGTCCTCTAATCCTGTGGCCTGGTATCTCCCAGGATCATGGTATTCTGCCTAACAGGTTCAGGGAATCAGCACATGTTTTGGGTAGGAGACAAGTCAAATTCAGAATCAGCATCAAACTGTCCTGTTGAATGAGTGGTGAACACATTTGTAAATGCTGGGACTCCAAAGGGTTCTTAACACATCTGGGAAAAAGACCTTGGGGAGGGGGCAATTGCAGAACCAAAGCTGAGAAAAGAGGCAGCAAACACCCTGGGGATGAACCGCTAAGGAGGGCTGGAGGAAGATTAGAGCAGAGCTGGGGGGGGGGGGGGGGGCAGGGGGCTCCTGGAAGGAGCCCAGAGAACTGCTGGATCAGGAGGGAGGCTGCTGGCATGCCAGCCTGGCAAACAGGGCCAGCAGACTTCAGCAGAGGCTGCAAAAAGGGACCTGAACAGAGGCAATGTGAGGCAGTGGACAGGGGAGGCAGCAACTACCAGCCTTTGGCAGGTGACTTTTGACTGAAGAGAAAGGGGGGAAGGGAACAAGGCAGGCCTCTGTCTTGGGGTAAGGCCAATAAATGTGCTTCTCCTTGGCAGCCAGTAGAGGGAAAGAGGAACCCACAGGAGAGAAAAGTAGCCAGAGCAGTGAGGAGCAGTGTTCCAGGTACATGACAGCTGCCTAGGCAAAGGGAAGAGAGAACTGACAAGATGTATTTCACGGTCAGTCAGCAAAGCACGAAGCAGAACACAAGAGGTCACATTTAGTAAACACTAGGAAAAATGTTGAAAAATAGTTTGCCAAGAACTGTATTGGACAGTGAAATTTGTATATGAAATCTGGCAGGTGGGGGATGGGTTGAAGACTAGTTTCCTGGTATTGCTTTATTAAAACCTGTGGGACATACTTAACCACTTGAGTTGAGACTCAGGGAGTCCATTCTGACAATATGCTGTGTGTGTGTGTGTGTGTGTGTGTGTGTGTGTGTGTGATGAACATATATTAAAAAGCTAGGTCACACGTTGCAATCTCTTAAGATTTGCAGAATATTTCCAGTTATAGTATTTCATTTAATTTTCACAACATCCTTGAACTTGGGTGGATTCCTGGGGTTTGCTGGTCTCCAGCCCAGCTTAAAAAGAAAATCCCCAAACCCCAAGTTCCTGAGAGACCTTCTCAAGTGATTAAAGTGATGAGCAGTACATGAGGGCAGCTGCCCATCTATATACGACTTGACTGACATCACACATGCACACAGACACACACACAAACACAAACGTATGGAAATACTTTACATGCCCATTATATGTAACAAGATGTAAAACTAGAGACCAAAGATGATGACAATACAAGTTTTATAATGTTTCCTGTCATCTAGATTCTATTGACAAACAGAAACATATTTACAAAGAACTACATGAAGAAAGAGTTCTAAATTATGAAAGCCTTACTAAGTGAGACAGAATATTAGAGGCCTGTTATCAAGACAGTAGAAGAGAAGGTGGGGCCGGCTGGGAGGTAAGCAAGGAGGCATTTCTCTAATGAAACTTGAAAAGCAGAACTGGATGGATGGTGTGCAGAAATATGTTAAGGTGTGCTTACAATAATATAGTAAGGTCAGAAATCTATCAAATAAAAAGTAAAAATATACACATACACATACATACATACATAATTTTTTCCCAAGACAGAATTTTTCTACTTACCTTGGCTGTCCTGGAACTCACTCTGTAGTCCAGGCTGGCCTTGAATTCACAGAGGTCTGCTGGCCTCCTGAATACTGGGATTAAAGGCATGTGCTACCACCATCTGTCTTAGAATGATATCTTTAAAATTACTCATGAGATTGGACAGGGGTCAAATTGAATATAGACACACAATGATACAAAATTTCAAAAACAACCAAATGGATGAATGGGATGAGCTCAGAAATCTATGCTTTCAAATAACAATTCTAAGGAAACAAAGAAATATTCAAAACAGGAAACACTGAATTTAGGAACACTAAAATTAATAAAAAGTGAAATTATTCATGTATACTTATTAATCAGAATTGTGTATACTCACCAGCAAGCAATGAACAAAAGGTATTTGAGATTCTAGAAACAACTAACAAATAAAATACCATCTCACTTAAATATAAGAATTCCGGATGCATAGTTCAGTGAGATATTAATAATCACAACACTGTAATCTTTTGGGTAATTATATAAGAAAGACGACTTATAGTAGACTGGAGTAAGCAACTCAGATTGGCCCAAGTACTTTGGAGAAAGCATCACAGAGTAAATGATTCTCATGGAATCTTGGAAAATATATAGAAATTAATTAGGAGCATAAGAAACAGAAGGACATTTCTGGCCTGTTGTGCAGTGAAGCAATGAATATGCAAAAGGACATTTGTAGAAGTGCAGATATTGTGTAAAGGGCAAATGCTGGAGCATGTTTAAACAGTCAAGGTTAGAGGTCACTGGGATGAGGAGCAATAAAGAACAATGCATGCCAGACTCAGCTCTATGCTTTTCCCTGAAGAAACTCTTAGAAAGAAGTTACTGAGTTTGCTCTGACTATGTGAGGTTTGTGAATGACAGAAACTAACTTTTCAAAGGCCTCCTATCTGCTGTCTCCTAAAATATCTTTGTAGATATTTTGGCATACTTCACTAATAAGTCTGGTGTAATAATGCCTGTATTTGTACTCAATTTTATTATCAGAGATTTACATTCCATTTTTAATTCATTGGCTATGCTTTCTTTTAAGTCCCAGTGATATAGGACACTCTGTGTCTTTTGCATACAATAGGATGATAGCCTATCTAAAGTATATTAAAACACCCAGTACCATCTTTCTCCTAAGGAAGTTAATGAAATATTTCCTCACAATTCCTGTCTCTTGCCGTGTGTGCTTTTTGTCATAGAACTTCTCTCTTATAGAAATGTCAGAAAACTAATAATCCCGTAATTACCTGTGACTAAGGAAAACAGAAGAGAGAAAACTAATAAGAAAGCCAAGGAAAAAGTGTAATTGCCCCTGGCAAAGGCCAATGGCATTTCAATAAGTGCCACATGGGAGATATGGAGGCTGAAACTGTAAATAATACCTATATCCTTCCAGAGAACAATGGAATCTAGTTAAAAGTGAACAATTCAGTGACAGGTTGGTATGTGAGGGTGATTAGAACTGCGTATAAAACAAGAGGCAAAATGTATTCTTTATAAATACCATTGAACCAGATTTCTTAGACTATAGACTTAAAAATGAATTTCATAGTGTGAGAAGTAACATCAATTGTTATACCACACCAGTATATGTACTCCTTTCCTTGCATTAGTTTAACATATAAAGCTTTTAAATAGATATTTTTTTAAAAATCCAATGCATACCAAATTAGTGTAAAGTCACTGTCATGTCTTTACTCGGTGGGGGGGGGCATGCATGTGCTTATCAGACCTTGTTATTTAAATTTGCTGTCTGGATAGAACTCTAAGACTTGGGAGGCTGTCAGAAATGAATACTTACAGATTGCGCCAGCTCCCCTGGTGACTCACAATCATGAGAAAACTGAGATGCTCTGTTCTAGAGTTTGCACACAATAGAGGTCCTTGCGCTGAATCCACCACAATAACATTAGTAACACCACATTTGAGTAAAGTTGCTGGCTGATACCAACCTTTGTAACACTTACAGTACTGAAATTATATCCATTTCCTCAGAAATATAATCACATGTGCTGAAGTTGTTTACATGACCAATGACTATGGGTAGAATGCTATTCCTTGAAAACACATCTTGGGGAAATAGTGCTTTCTTACATGATAACTAAATTGGGAAGAGAATTTCAGTGGACAAGATGTTTAATATACAAATAAGAGGACTTGATATTAGGTGCCCAGTTCCCGAATAAATGCCAGACATACCTGATAACCCCAGCACTGGGAAGTAGGGAGAAGTGGATCTTTGGGGCTCACTAGCTAGCCAATAGAGCTTTAAGGATTAGCCCCAGGTTCAGTGAGAAATTCTGTCCCCAAAATTAAGGTGGAGAATCAAGTGAAGAAGACATTGTGGTACTAATATTTTGCAACCATATGTTCTTGTGTGGAGGAACACACCAGAATACACAAGTATGCACATAAGCGTACACACACACACACACACACACACACACACACACACTGAAAAGAAGAAAAGAAAATTTTCTAGACAGTGACAGTAGCTTTTCCCCCCTCTGTTTCCTTTATTTGTTCTATATTTTCTCCTCCACATTCACGTATTTCCAAAATTCTTGGACATTTGCTTGTCATTTTTTCCTGCATTAAGCACTCATTAATTCCTATAAGATGACAACTACTGAAGATATGAGAAGACAAATATGAAGTGAGTTAAGATGAAGAAGTAATTTGGATTTGTTTTGTTCTAAGACTGACAAGAAGTCTTGGATTTTAAAGTTGTTTTTATTTGTAATTATTGTT